TGTAAATGAATTTAGCTAACATCCACTGCCAACGTGTTTTTTAAACAATTAAACAACTAAATAACAAGATCATAATTTACTCATTTAAAATGAGATGCTGGTTTGCAGAACACTTCAGAAATAATTTATTCAGAAACTAACAAAGTACACAGAGAAGCGGCGAAATACTTATTAAATTACATACTTGATAGGAATCACATTTTTTCTCTTTATGCATATATGCATACAAGTTTTCACATCGTATAATATTACGGATGAAATAACAACTTCTTATGTTTTCAAATATTATATGTGACTTGTTTCAATTCTTTTAGCAGTTATGTCACGTATAAAGAAGAAAACATAGATATTTAACGCCTTTAAGACACAGATATTTAACGCCTTTAATATCAGGTTTCGTATGTTATCAAACTGATGACATCATCATATTTCGCAGCAACTTAAACTAATACCGCTTCACGAAGAGTTAGAGAGTATACGAATTTCGAGAAATGAATATCTGAAAACTCGAATAAAACTGCGCATAATGATCTGTATTTATATTATACTGTAACTGCACAACAAGTAATTATGTACATTATTTAAGAATACACAAACAAAGAGATCAAAAGATTTAGAAATTCACAGCAATCTAAAATAATAACACTTTTACATTTTCCTTCAAAAATCTTGCTCGTGCTTTTTTTAACTTCTTAATCTGACTGAGTAAAGAACGAATGTGAAAATCCTTTTTCTTAGAAGGCAAATAAAATGCTGTACTTCAGGAACAAAATAACCAAAGCAGAGAATTTTCTCTCAAAGAAAATTTTTAAAAAGTCAAAGTTTACTGTCAAAGAAAGTTAAAATCACGCGCACAAACATTTATATTTTGTCTTTCAAAGCTCCTTCTCCTTTTGAATTTTTGCTGAATTTAAATAAAGAAGCAGAAGTTAATATTAATAACAAAATTAAAGATTAATTTTTATTTCCGACGACATATGAGACATCATTCTATACTAAATATATGATTAAAGTGAATGAAGAAACATGAGACTGGAAATAAATTACCTCGAGTTTTTTAAAATTGATATTATTACGTATTCAGTACAGTTTCAAAAGATTAATCAATTTTTTCACGAACTGTTCAGAAGAAAGAGAGAAAATGTTTCATGAATGAACAATCAGCAAAATTCTTCATGAATAATTCATACAGTATTCAAAATGTATAACAGTTCAATGATTAAGTATTATACTCCTGATAGTTTTAGCAAAACTGTTCAAGAGAAAGAAACTTAAAATTTTTAGAATTAAGACCTAAAAATTATTCTGCATTCTGGAATAATATTTTAAAAAATTCTCAGAATTCTTAATTTTTTTAAATTTCTTAAATTAAAATAGGTCTTATGCCGAAATGAAACTTCTGTCTTTACCAAAAATTTTAGAATAGAATTCTCTCATAATCACTTAACGAAATTATAATTGTAAAATCCAGTGGTAAACATCTTAATCGCCTCCGTGTCACATTTTTCAGCTGACGATTGAAATCTTATAATCATTTATGCATTTCATTGCACTGAATTTAGGAATTCGTTTTTCATATTGCGTCTAGCTCAGAAAACATTTTTGGTACACTTCAAGCTGCCGTTAAAAATTTGAAATGCCATGTCCAAATTGCTTGCAATATTCCCTTTTAATCACAGTTAACAAAATTCTAGTAACTAACTACAGCTATAGTAAGAGGAAAAGCGTACAGAAAATGTCTTTACTCATTTTCCGATTCTGGTCACGATTCTGGCTGCGAGCCGGTTAAAATCTGAAGAACATCCACTTCTGAAAATTACATCACGTACTCTAACCGTATAATAATATTCATCGAATTTTTGGACGAGTTTCAGCAAAGTCTACAAAATTGTTCTTCTATTTATTCTTATTACAGAAAAAATTAATGTTTAGAGATAAAAATCTGTTGATTTCTCTGAAAGTTAACAACAACATTAAATAACTTCAACTACAGTAATATAAGAAGTGCAGACAACATCTCATAGGTTTTATTAGTTTATCCACCCTGAGAGCAAGATTACGTATTCCATAGAATATTTCTTTCTAATGATCTTCTCATGCAGTCTTATTATATAACAGCAATTCTTTCTCACTGCGTTTTGTGGAATAAATTCTTCAAAACTTATGGTTTCGATAATTATTCGTAATCGTTTATAAGATTCGAATAAAAATGACCGAATTAAAACTTTTCCAAGCATTTATTAACAAAATTAAAACTCTTCAAACACTTATTAATAATCAGAAAATAAATAATTAAGCATAATTTTTATTTAAAATGTATTACTTTTCTTAAACAAACACGTGGAAATTCAAAACACGGGTTGAAATATTTCACAGCCATGGCTTTTTAAATGCTACTTTCTGCGTTAATCTAATTTGATTTGAGAAAAATCAAAAAAAAAAAAAAAGAACATTTATGTAAGATTTATTCTGCGCACATATTTTAGTTTTGATTTCTGTTGCTGCATGTCTTCATCTATGCTCATATACTCCAAAAAAGCTGAAAACGGTTTCAAAGTCTTCTTTTCCCAATTAATCAAAAAATTTCCCATATTTTCTCGTTAGTTTCTCCTAGTCTTTATTTAATAAAATAACATAATAATGCATTGTAGAGTCTTTCAAAATTTTTCGATGCCAGGAAACTGAAGAAATTCGCAATGCCCTCGCCGTTACTCGAACTCCAGACCTTCAGCATACGCATTGAGCATGCTTCCAGTTACACCACAAAGGCATGTGGAAAAGAGGAAAGAAAATATCTTATATACTACTAATAATACTATCTACACTTGAATTAAAGCAACACAAACTTAGAAAACATCTAAATGCTAAACTATTGTTCTCTATATACGAATGATTAATAATCGTTCTATGGTCATCCAACTTGATATGAAATCGTATAAATAAATATTTTTTAACCTTGAAAATACTAAATTTTCCTCAAAAATTCAATCCCTGAATACATTCTAATCTCAAATTATTTCTTCGGTACTGAACGTGGTTACTAGAGCAACATTCTATCAGTAAAATGAGTTTTACGATGAGCACGGGAATAAATTCACCTTATTTCAGAATCATTTTCACATTCTTTTAAACAAAAACAACATGACAAAGGCTATCAAAATGATGTTTAATGTTTTAATAGAATTTCAGTGTAGAGATACTCAGAACTCGAAAAAAAACTTTACAAGTTTTAAGTCCCTCGTATTAGTAAATTAAATTTCCGATGATAATATTTTTAAGCATTGACGTCTATACTGCTGAAATATCATTGACAACGGGAACTGACTATATAACGGCGGCAAAATACTCATGTCTCCTATTATTAACAGTTTTAATTAAACATTTTAAAATAAACATAGGATTACTCAACCGATACAGAGGCTAAGCAACAATTTTTCATTTCCGCATGCAGTTAAAAATTGGCAAAATTTGGAATGGATTATAATTTCAGCTCCTTTTAGCACTAGAACCGCTTTCATATATGAATATGCTAATAAAAAAATACAGCAGATTAAAATACTAATTACGATACATAAATCAAACTTCAAAAAGCAAAATATCCAGTAATTTAACGTAGCACAATGACTATCATACTATCTTCAGTTACAAGATGCGGTCGCAGTTGTTACAAGAAACCACCAGTACTTTTAATGGACATTTAAAGATATATCAGTACGTTCAGGGGATTTAGATGAAATAAATGAATGCTAAGTATGCCAAACATATGAACGACAATAATTATAAGAAGTTATCTAGCTCACAACCTGTGCTGTCGTCCAAACAGGTACTATGGGGAAAGGCTGTTGATCCTTTGAGTACGGCATGATATTTTCATTAATTTTTTAGAAATTTATTATTAACCCAGAGAAAGATGATAATAACATCATAACAGCCCCGGGGGTCCATGATTTTTGTTGAGATACCCCTGGCTCATAGCAGACAGTTTCAAAAGTTGCAAAATAGAGCATTGAATGTAATTCTGTACTATAAAATAACATAATTCTTCATAGCAGTAATAGATTATGGACAAACCATTAAATTTATGGTAATATGTTTAATCTTGGATCTTTTAAAAGAATTTCAAAGGTTGTACATGCATTTAAGCATTTATTCAGTTATCTAAAGTTCACCATCAACGTCTCTCAAAAAAACAATTTTTATGTACAACATTTAAGTTTTATATAACGCAATTTATTGTTGTTTTCGTCAAACAGCAACATTACAGTATTAAAAAATTTTCAATAATTCATTATTGATAGACATGTCTAGACACTTACATGCAAGTGCAGTGAACCCTTTTCATGACAACCACTTATGATTTTAGGTGATTTTGTTCTTCTGCGAAGATGATAAATTATTTAAGTTTTCGTAAGTGCTGGTTGTTTTTAAATACCGTACTCTTAAAGGCGGTTGCCAATGTATACGAATACTTATGTTTTCGGAAGTGCCGGTTGTTTTTAAACAACGTACTCTTAAAGATGGTCGCCACTGTATACGTGTATGTAGAATAGTAATTTCCATATAATTCTACAATTTCCAGTTACTCTCTTCTTTGCTGTAATGACCATAATAAAGGAACTAGGAAAGCTGGGAAACATAGATAAAATATCATAGGAACTTCTATACAACTACAAACAGAATAGCATCTCGACAGACACATGAAATCATTTTTAAGAACGATTTCTGGAATTATAATATTTATATATACACATGTAAATCATCACACGCATACACATTCATTATTTTATACATAGCAAACTGATACTAGTGTAGCAAAAAGATAATATGAACATTAATAAGATTTTCATATTAAAACTCTAATGAAAACTGTTTAAATTTATCATACGTTACTGAATGAGAATTAACTGAATGTACTATGAAATTTTTTAATTTAAAAATTCCATTCATTAGGATTCATGCAAATAAGTATTTTGGAATGTAATTCAATACATGCAACTTACGCGTCGAATAGGTGGTTTGGTCGAGAAAGGTGGACCCACAGGACCCCCATGGAACCCTGCAGCAAGACCGTCGCGGCTAGATGGATACATAGAATCACGTGATCTCGAGCCCAAGGCTACTGAGGGTCATAATGACAACTGTCTCCTCGAAAGAATGTAGAAAAAACGAATATTGCGACATCAGAATTACTACTTCCGGGCTTACAGTCACACCCTGAAAATTGAAGCAGCAGCCACGTTCGATGGAATTTGACATCTGACTCGCATCTTTCACACAGATTTGACGAGAGTATCGTCAGATAAACTCTTCCTTTTTCTTCCCATCATGGAAGTATATTCTCGCGTTACATAGTAGATGACGATCCTTTTTCAGTTAACTATAATCAGATATTTTTATTCTCTAAAACATTGCTGAAAAGTTATTAAGCATTGATGCTTTCAGCAAAAGCTGCTTTGACTGAAGATAATCTACAATCTAGCCGTTGTAAGTAATGGAACATTTCATATCCATGAGATAATAATCAGATGAAGATATTTAGTTTCTTATACGTGACGATAATATGGCGTTCTGAGGTTTGTCATCATATTATTACACGCATCTTTAAGACAATCACAAAAATTAAGAATACAAGGCATCAAATATTCACGAAAAGGACATCTCACAAAGTAGAAAATTATATGTAACAATAGTGTGCAACGCACACAACGTTTCCAAAACAGCTCACAGTAATTTAAAACGACAGTACCTTTTAACAAGAATCAAAAAACAGTTCAAAATTGATAACAAGATAAAAATTGTGCTTCTTGATGAATATTTTAACGGAGTTTGAGAAATGGAAGAACTTTCAAATAAGTAAGGCTGTGTGCAAGCTTTGATCTAGTTGCAACTGCTTCCGCAAAATAATTGTACTTTGATTTCTTACGGCTTTAACTTCTCCACAAACAATCAATTTTGACGGGATTTCTTCGAAGCCATTAAAAGTCAAAGACCCAATACACATGGAAGCATTTACTTGTAAAAAAACGAAGTAAGATGTTCACACATGATGCGACAGCTCCAGTTTAGTGAAAATAATTGCAATAATCGTCTGTCAACTGAATTTTCTGAGGGTGTATCACTGATGACAAATGAGATAACACACCTCGTACAAGTTTCGTCACAATCGATGAAAAAACACTGCCATCCGCGCTCAGCCAGGTTTCTAGCAGATACAACCAACCAACCAACCGGACACTAGTTGCTAGCTAATCAAGCTTTACCTAATTGGCCAGGGAAGGGGCAACTACTCCTTGCGTACGTCTTCACCACTTGGTTTAGAGTAGCGTAAAATCGGAACACCATGATTGCATCGGCAGATTGGACGCTATCTGTACTGAAGAGAAGCTGAGAGCCAGAGGATGCAACATACGCGAGTGATACTTTCCACTCCCCTTTTGAAATGAGATGGAGAGAAAAAGCCTGCTCCATGTATAACGAGCCAGCGGCTCAGCTATAGGGTTGCTATATATCTTCTTGGCGATAACGAATGGAAATATGGCGACGCCAAATGGTTCCGTCATCCGTTCTTTTTTTTTTCAGTAAACGATTATCTTTAGCAGTATTCTCTGTTACTAGATGACATACAGCATCTGAATTTATTTCCGTGTATCTTTGCGTTTCAGATCCCGCGCATTCAGCAAATTGATTACTGCTGAGCTGTCTGTTACTATGAATATGAATGAAAGAACGTAATCTTGCTTGCAGTGCTTTCGTACAAATTTGAGTAAATTATCGAAATTTGTTATGGATGAAAACAGTGGCATTTACTGTCTAGTTAGCAGCCTAAATAGGTAGTAACGATTTTATCAGATAACAAAATCTAAATTTAGAGAAAAGGTACTTTCTTTGCGCATTTCTGAAATTTTCATAAAGAATGGTTAATATACTTAAAATTTCATACATGCATTTTTCAACATTCTCAATTAAAGGAAGTCCTTATTGTGAATTTAAAAAAGAAAGAGAAAAAAGTAAAGAAAAATAAAATAAATAAATAAATAAATAAATAAAAAACTTTTTCATGATCATACTAGAAAATAGAGTTTTCCAAGCTATCCAAGAAGTTTAAAATTTCCAAAGTTCGAATATTTATTTCAACGCTTAAATAAAAATTTCTTCTTAATTAATCTGAATTTAATACATTAATGAAAAGCATAGGCATAGAGCTTTGTATTTTCCAGACGCCCATTCATGAACAATATTAATTACAAGCACTGCACACCAAAGATAACATCAGGCATCTAACTAAAAAACGTATGGAACATAAAAATCACACGTGATACTGGATGAAAATGACTCTGACTTAATGCATGTCGTTTAACGTTAGTTTATAAACTTATTTCGAACTCGTATTAAGATTACAAAAGCTTCTCAGTTTTCCAGTATTTGGTCTAATATACTGTGAACTTAAACAGTTAGACAAACAATCCACAGCAGACGATAACCTATTAGTCATGAACAGGAAGTAGAGCTGATTAACAAATTTTTAATTTCCATGTTTCTAGTTTTAAACCACCATAATATTATTAATAATATAAAAGTATCTAGGCTTAAGTAAAGTTCGTTTAAAAGATTAAAAAACGCCACAGTAATAATAAATGCAGGCACTCTATCGGTTAAATTAAAAAAATATACAATAAAAAATACTTAAAAGCAGTTCAACAACAACAGAAGAAAAAGTCTTCAAAATTAGCAGTTTCAACATAAATTCGATTCCTCTTAAATATACTCTTTTCATATTTGAATTTAACAAATATTCTCTATTAGTATAAAGCTAATGTAAATTTTTAATTTAATTATGAAATTTTAATTGCTAATATAAAAGATTAATTATTGCTGCGAACTAATTTACAATATCATTTAAATTCTAAGAGCATACGTAAATTAAGTGCATGTATCTACAACCATGAAAAAATATATAATATTCCCAAAAATGTTTTTAAAGAATTTTTTAGGAAATTTTGTAATTATGACCCAAGGAAATATTCAACAAATGCCGAATAAAAAGCCTTTTAACGAAACAGTAATAATAAATGCAGGCCTAACCAAACAGCTTTTACACTTACAATAAACAAATATGCTTGATCAAAAGTGGGCTCAACCCGCCACATCCATTTAGTTAAAATTTCTTCAATGTTTAACAAATACCAGCCAGTTTACTTAAGTGCAACCATCTTCTCGTAAGCGCAACCATAATTAAATAATCCAATTAGTTAACAGACAAATTATATAAATTTCATAATCAAGTAGAAATTATCAGGAGCTGATTTATCGGCTCAGGATAGATAGCTCATTTGGTAGAATACATATGCACTAGTCCTGGATTCTATCTTTAGCTGAAGTTCAGGCCTTTACAAAGTTGATGTCATGCTTTGGGATCATGCTTTTAATCAATTACTTGCCTTAATTGTATATAACTATACTATGATTAGATAGCATAGTTACTTATTAAAACATTTCTGCTATATCATTACATGCGTAAACTACATTAAACTAGCTTTGCTTTCCTTCCCTTACACTGTTTTTAAAGAAATTCATAAACATAATAATTGCTCATTAAAGACTTATACAAAGTTGTTGAGTCATTAGGTCATAACGATGCAGGAAACATCAAAAATGGGAAATGCCCTCCTCCGAGATTTGGACTCCGGACCTCTCGATTACGCATAAAACGTGTTATCCAGTTACATTACGAAGACAAGTGGTAGGAGAAGAAGATACGTTATATATCCCCCCCCTTTTAAACTGTGACTGGGTATGAGGGGACTCAAACCTGATGGTGACAAATTATCGTTCATCACTTTTTAGTTCGAGCGACACTTGCGCAGTTTTTATATATATATATATATATATATAAAGAATTTTTCGAAGCAAGGAAACTGAAGAAATCCGCAATGCCGGATTCGAACTCCGGAACTCCCGATTACGAGTCGGACGTGCTATCCAGTTACAACACCAACGCAAGCGGTAAAGAGAGAGAAAATGCATTATAAAAGGGTCATATTTAATTTTATTTTTTAATTTCAGAGAGAATCCGAATCTATAGTTTTTACATATTGCTATTAAAGTAATTTATATCGTTTTGTACCTGTACTTAAATGCTCAGAACATTTATTTGAATTGTTCTATTATTCTTTTAACGATAAACTTTGAAGTTTCGCAGAATTACTTTTCAGGATTTAGTTCTTTTAAATAGTATTTTGGTGAAAATCAGGGAAAATTCGGTATTACAATTCTGTAATGCATTACTCATTTTAATAGATGAATTAAAAACTGAAAGTAAGCTTATAATTTCCCTCTTCCTACAAAACCAAGATCAATTGTATTTGTGTCAATCATACTCCATAAGCTGCATATAAGTTATAATAGTTGTTTTCATCCAGCAACAGATTAGATTATTGAAGGTTGGTTATCGATATATAAATTTGAGTAGAATACATTCAATAATCGGTGATTGTAAGATTCTTCTGAAATACCTGTGCAACATTTCCCTTTTCATGGGCTGATACGCAATACAAAATATGCTGCTTCTGATCATATTCACTGATTTATTTAATTCAACAGACTGAACTCATGACTGAAATCAATGCTTATAATCATCTGATTAAAATCACTGACATCGTTTCGAAATAGATGAATTATTGATAAATATTTTATAAGAAAGGATAAAATTCTTATGCGTATTTCTTGCTCGAGAATATTCGTACATAAAGCATTCCAAAATCCTAAACTATTAACTGGTTAAAAATGCGTATGAAGAAAACCAATCATCATTATATGCCGAGTAAGATTATAAAATGTACCAACAGACACGCGCAATTATTTAAATTACATGCCGAAAGATTAAATCTTTTCATACTGCTAAATTAATGGCAATTTCTACGATCTGATCTCTTTAACCACCACTTTTACCCTCTCATATACTCTTTAGTTTGTCTAGTCTAGACACTAACGCATTTGTTATTTATTTTCTTCAGCTACATTCCACATACGTGCACGCATACCACTACTGTTGCGACAATAACAGAAAATGTGCCAGCGGTAGCAAAAGAAATATGCAGAAACGAGCGATGACGACAACCTTCTTCAGAGTGGAAGAGCATTCAACAAAGGCTTCTAAACAGCAAGCCGAACAACCAAAGAGGTCAGCTGGCTGGTCAGTTCATTCTAATAAAGAAAGCCAGGGGTATCTTTACGAAATTTAGGAAAACCATGAAAACCACATTGTGACCATTCTGTTTCCCGAGAACTGGTCTCGGAATCAACTTCAAACATTCAGCATTTTCAGCGCACGGTAACTGGTAAGTCATACAAAGCAGAAACAGAAAAAAATGAAGTTGATTCTGCAATACAAGTTTGTGGATTAACACAAAATCACTGTCGGCCGTTTTTGGGGAAGGAAAAATATTTAAATATCTATACCATTATTATTTAAATTTAACAAACATTCTTTATTCATAAAAAGCAAATTAAAAGTTTATGAAACTTTATTCGTAAATTAGTGCAAAAATAGAATGGAAACATACATAAATATAATTTTCCCATTATACATTTGCACCAATTTACTCAGGACACAGTATTAGCTCTTTGTACATATTTTACGATTTCGTACTACAAGGCCTGTTATAAAACTCAATAATCTTGTTGGCAAATATATAAATTTTGAACAAAATCCTATGACTTAGTAATCTGCATGAGCAATCAGTCCCTTATCACTCAAGGGATAATGATAATATGGAACTAGCTCAATAACCCATAGATAATCAATTAAGAATGTGCAACAGTTTACCTTTAGAATACTCAAAATGAATTGTCTTTTCAAAGCGGCTTTTAACAATTTAAGTAAAAATGAAATACATCTAAAATAATGGGAACACAACAACGAATTTAATAAGAACTCAAATTTCATTGCTAAATAAAGGAAATCATTAAATTCCGGAAATCATTATAAGGCAAGAAACTATTAAATCGGTAGAACAACATCATTAAATCAGGAATCTTCAACTTTTATTTTGAATATTTCTGTTATTGAAATAGCTCACACATGCTCATGTATCATAATAAATTATTTAACATTTATTCGTGATTAGTCATGAATATTCTCGCCAAAAAAATCATCGCATATTAGTGTGAAATTGCAGAAAATTATAAGCAAGAATCATGTTCATATGTTTTTTTTGGGGGGGATGTAATTAACTATGGTTTGTACTTCATGTCAGCATTATCTTAGAGATACTACTAAATAACAATTTAACTAATACGTATAAGATAAAAATATGTAAAGCAAAATTATAACTTAATATTACACATTTTAATCTGAGTGTTTTCCTTTTCTCTCCTAAAAACAATTAACTTTTTATACTTAATGTCTCTAAGCTGCGTCATTTCAAAATAAAT